ACGCGGTAATATTTCAGATAAAGTCGTACGTTCCTTTTCCTAGTTTATCTGTTGGAAAAATCTAGATTTTAGAAAGAAAGGTTTAAACAAACATTATACTTTGTTTCTGCCGACAACATATCCAGCTTCATGTCAGCACTCATCCCATCCAAACTTATAAAGGGTGAATAGGCTTTGAAAGTATAAGGAATCTTGGAAAATTTCCAATCAATGTTCATAAGCGATAATTAACATTACGGCTCTGGTGCTCCTATGCTAAGCTCCTTGTTATTTCACACTAAATCAGCAATAATTTTATCAGCCAGAAGAGAATAATAATAGTAGTAGTGGGCAAATGAGGATAAATAAAATCTGACCAATGCGCTAACGCGAGATTTTCTCAACCTCAAACTTGGCAGAATGCCTCATTGAAAGTGATTGCAGCTTAAAGCTCATGGACGTCTAAGCCGAACAATTTCTCAATAAAGAAAAGTTTTTGTATGTGATTTATTGAGTTAAAAGGCGTGATTATCTGATCTCGTCAACTATTCTTGACTTTTACTTCTTCATTAGGTGGTAACAATTTTGACGAGCCATTTGGCTGCGTCTATCACTCCCACTGCAGTTTGAAAATTTTTCCCTCCCGCAAAAAGTTAAGCTTTGTGGACATCCTTAAGTTTTATTATGGACTCATCTACAGAAGAAAAGAATGAGAATTCCTATTCGGCCATAGACTCTACAGATAATGTGAACCGAGCATTATGTTAAAAATGTTCTGCTGAACAGGTGATCAACTTGAATGCAGTTCGAATTATGCCTCATGCTCCTAAGTGCCGACAGTGGAGTAAAAGAAATTTCAGATGATCAATTATGACTGCCGAGTGCTGCTCAGAACTCCAGCGAACGATCACATTTTCATTGCAAAATTAATATCAGCTTAGTCATTAGAAAGTATGGTGCATTTTGCCGAGAAATTCAACAGAATCTGTATGTTGATAGGGTGAAATTTCTAGTTGTCATCGAAAGCCAGAGAAAATTACAGAGAACAAAAAGTGCGATTAACGAACCACCTTTTTTGATTTTTCTGCGCTAATCTGGTTGTATTGTAATGGCTTGGCAAAAGTTGGTAAACCTATTGGTTAAATTTCTTAGATGGATATAAACTTACCAAAACGAGGGATGCGTCACTTTATTTAGTGCATTCATAATCATGTTCAACTTCACTAACTGTATACTTCTAGCTTCCCGCCAAAGCTACAACCCGATTCAACCTCTAGCAACCGTCAGGCTATCCACTGAGCAACAGTTTATTCTCAAGATATTGTCCAGTAGAAAATGGAGTTTAGCTCATGACTATGCGCAAATTTGCCTGCTGCCCTATGGGTGGGGACTTTGCACAACAGTTGCAATCTTCTAGTACATCGCCAAAAAACTAAAAACCACTTTT